ATGGCCGTCACACCATCCCAGGCAGTACTCTTCACCTGGATTGCCGCGATAGCCCCCTCGCTCTCGGACTGGGTGGCCGGCTTCGCTGCTGGGCGCTCCGCGCTGGCAGCCCCAGGCCGCGCGGCGGCCGTCGGCTGGGGTTCGGAGCCTCCGCTGTGGGACTGCTCCTGCTGGCACCTGCCCGTCGTCAGTGGCGCCCGAGCCGCCGGGCCTGCCCTCGCTGGGTCCCTCAGTGCGGCTCGCGCCCGACGGTGCCGCGGCGATCGAGGTCCTCTGGCCGTGCGTGGGAGCCTCGCGTTCTCGGCCGACCTCGCTCTCGCCGGGCGCTTGGGGTTCGGGGTCCTCGAGGAGCTCTTCGTGCTGTACTTGGCCGCTGTGCTGCATGGCCCGACTCGACGCAGCTCCGTGCGATCCGCAGCGGAGCGAGACTGGCAGTCGGGGACGCAGCTGCTCGTGTCGCTCGTCCCTGATCTCGGGTTCAGGCACGAGCGCGTCATCATGCGGGCATGTGACGTTTGTCCCTGGATCATGTACACGGACGGCGGCGACATGTGGGTGGAGAAAGGAGAAGGACGGGGACAAGGTGTACCCTCTGACGACGGGTCAGTCGTCGAGGTCTCTGCCGTACTACGTGGCGGAGGTTGTGCCGCTCGCAATGTTCCTGACGGACGACGTACTGCACGGGCTGATCGTGGAGGCCCGCATCGAGGTGGCGTCCTTGCGGGAGTCTGAGCCCGATCGCCACACGCCAGCAGGCCCGTCCTACTGCCTGTCGGTGGATGGCCGCCAGCGCCCGCCCCGTCGCCGCCGTCCCCAGGGCGAGCAGGTGAGGCTCGCCGGCAAGGAAAGCAACCCACCTGCCGCCTACGCGGGAGCGGGAGCCGCCGAGTCACCTGGCGGCGCCGGGTACGCGGGCGGCAGCATGCTGGCCGCCGACGGCGAGCGTCATCGCTGGCTGGCCAGCAAGCCTGGTCGGATCGGGGAGTTGGGAATCCCTGTGCTGCACGCATACGTCATGATCGGGCTGGGTGACCGCAGCGTCGCCGACATCGACGGCGAGACGGTGCCGATGCGGAGCGCTTCTGAGACCAACGTGGCCGACTACGCGACCATGAAGACCTCGGCCTACGAGGTGGCGGTTCACTACGTCGGCGGCGCGCCCATCTACTTCGGGCGGCGTGTCGAGATCGTGCCGAGCCGCGCGCCTTCCCACGGCGATGGAGCCGAGCCGACCGCCCCCGCAGATGCCGCCGAGCCGAGCGATGTTCGCACTCTGTGGGTGGACACTGACGCCATGAACGACCCGCTCAAGTCTTGGCGTAATGAGGTCATGGAGAGCTACCCCACGGTGTGGACCGACAGCCCTGTGGAGGTGCGGGTCTGCCCGATGTTTATCCCCAGCCACTCTGATCGGCATGGCGACATCGTCAGGAGGCGCCTTGACCTCTGGTCTCGCTCGAAGATTCTCTGGCCGCACGAGCAGGTCATACACGAGCTCTCCGTCCTCTACGAGGTCATCTACGAGGGGGGCTCCTACGACCAGCTCAACAAGCCGTCGCTGTTCATCTTCGAGTGCATAGTGCGCCGCTTCCAGAGTAATGTGGACGTGTGCTCGGGTGACTCCTCTTGGCCGCAGTGGGCCAGCGCAGGGCTTCACTCCAGCGTGGGTTTTGCGGTGGTCATGGTCGCGCCCGAGCTGGAGCACTACGTGGCCATGACGGCCGTGGACGAGGCCGAGGTCGAGTCCATGCGGGTGCAGGCCCGCATCCTTTTGATCTCTGCCGACGTCGCCGCTGCTGGCGGCCCCCCCGCCGCTGGACGCAGTGCACCTGTCGCCGCCGTGGCGGGCCAGCCCTCCAAAGGATCGGGCCGTGGAGCCCCGAAGGGAGGCGAAGGCGCCGCTGCCGCGGCGGAGACTCAATGAGTGATGTGACCCTCGGCGGTGGGACTGGCCCAACCCCCGCCGTTCGCCTTCCTGGGCTTGCACGCGGATCCGCGGAGATCTTCCCGTTGCCCGACGACTCCAGCCTCGTCGCGGATTTCTGGATCCACCTTCAGGGGCGTGCCCAGCGCCGGTTCGTGAGGGATTGGCGGGAGTGTGTGCGCTCATTAAATTGGTTGTGGGGTGCTGGTCATCGTGAGGTCGCCCGACGTGCTCGCGGCGACGTCCACCCATACCGTTTTCAACTTCAACGTGAGGTGCTGGTGCGAGTCGCCCAGGGGGTCCAGACGTATCTGGACCCACCTTTCGACCTTTCTCCGAAGGAGGCCTTTCAGGGGCTACTTCGAGGCCGCGGGGTCTACGACACCGAGACGGCCTACACTACCCTGGCACCCTACCAACGGGGCGCGGTTTCTCTTCCTTGTGACGTCTCGACGGCCCCGGCCGTGGGAACCTTGGTCACGGGGCGCGCCCTCGAGTATCTGGTGGAGGCAGAGGAGCAGATGATCAGGGCCGATGCTGAGGTCCAGCTTGACCGTGAGACGAATGGCGAAATCAAGATCTACACCGACCCCCTGCTCGCCAATAGTCGCCGCCGGTACTCCACCTTCGTGAAGGATCTGAAGCGGAAAGGCTTGGTGGGCTTCACCCGCGATCCCAAGGAGTTCGTGGGTGTTTTCTTCGTCTGGAAGAAGGAGCGCGCCTCCATGAGGATGGTGCTCGACTGTCGCCGCTCCAATCAACGTTTCGTGACCCCTCCTGGGGTCGAGCTGCTGTCGACCGAAGGGCTTGGTCGGATCGAGTGCGACACGGAGCAGACCGGCACGTTGCCCATCTTCCTGGGCAAAGCTGACGTGAAGGATTGCTTCCACCGCATGATGTTCGGCAACCACCTCTCCAAGTACTTCTGCTACTCGGGCGGCCTGGCCAAGGAGCTTGGCATCGTCGGGCAGCTGGTGGAGGGGGTGCCCGCTCGCGCTGACGACTACCTCTGGCCGTGCGCCCTCGCGTTGCCCATGGGCTGGACGTGGTCGCTCTATTTCGCTCAGGTGGCCAACCTCGGCCTGGTGGAACGGGTCCCCGCGGTGGCGTCGAGTTGCGCGGCCACCGATCGAGGGCCCCCCATCGTGCTGTCTCCGACCTCCTCCTGACACTACGTATACGTCGACAACGTTGGGCTCATGTCGCTCGATGCCTCCTACGTCAAGGGGGCTCTGGCGGACACCATCGCGGCCTTCGACGCCGCGGGCCTCGTCATGCATGACATCTCGGTGGAGTCCGACACTGCCGAGGCGCTGGGAGTGACGCTCGATGGCCAGAAACACCAGACCCTCGTCAACCACCGGCGCTACTGGAAGGTGAGACTCGGCCTCCGGTGGGCCCTCTCCTTGCGGCGCCTGGTAGGGCGAGAGCTCGAAGTATTGCTTGGCCACTGTACATTCGTGGGTTTGATGTGCCGGGAGACCCTGTCCGTGTGGCACACCGTCTACACCTTCATCCGTGAGCGGTACTGGGCCAAGAGCGACATGTGGGAGTCCGCACGTCAGGAGCTCGAGTGCTTCCTCGGGCTGATGCCGCTCCTTCGGTCTGAGTGGGATCGGCCGTGGCTCACGCAGGTACTGTCCGTGGACGCCAGCCCGTGCGGCTGGGGGATAGCCAGCTCCGAGTTCGTAGTGTCGATGGTGAAAAAACAGGGCAGGATTCTTGAGCGATCTCGTTTCCGTCGACTCGGAGGGTTGCCGGCTCGGGCCAGTGCCCTCGCCGCCGCGGGTTCGTCTACTCACCCACCACCGATCGCTGGCAGGTCGACGATGAGAAAGAGCGTGACCCTTCGGACGTTCGGGAAGCTGGAGCTTGGGAGATGCGTGAGGATTTCCCTGAGATTCCTGGGGCCCTCCTCCACGGGGATCGGTGGCGCTTGGTTTTGCATGGCAAGTGGGCCTACTCCGAGGATATCCTGATTCTCGAGGCCCGCGTCCTGGTCAAAGCTGTCGCAAGAGTTTGTAATTGCGTTCCAGGTGGATTCTGCAGAGTATTGTTATTGGGAGATAATATGTCAGTTATATTAGCTTGTGAAAGATTTGGGGCCCGCAGCTTCGGGCTCTTGGTGCAGATCAGACGAATCGCGGCCTACGCTTTGGGCCGAGGGGTTCGATTTGGGTTCAGGTGGCATCCCTCAGAGCTCAACAGTAGCGACGCTGGGTCCCGTATCTACGACCCCAACTACGATTCCACGAAGGATCTCACTCGCCTGGTGGCTGACGGACACGGACCCGGAGACGTCCTGCCTCAGCCTGCGGATCCACCTCGGTCCGTCGACGTGCCGGCTCAAGTTCCCGAATCGCTCGAGAACCCAGATTCTTTTGCCTGCGCCGTATTCCACGACTGCCATGATGCGGACCCGCAGCCTGGAGGCGCCGAGCCAAACCATCGCTGGCCAGAGGAGCTGGCTCACGACTGTCGGAGCGCGTCCGATGACGACTTCGTGTCCGCTTTCAGCGACCACGGGGCTAGCGACGACGCCTACTTGGCTGCGACTGGAGACACGCTCGATGCTGGATACTGGGAAGGTGCCCCTAACCAGAGGGTCCCTGGTGACTCTGGCAGCCAAAAGGCCCGCCTGGGCTACAGCAGCAGTCACGGCCGCTGCCACCGCCGCGGCCGCCGACGGGGACAGCGATGGCACTACTGCGGCCGACGAGATGGAGAGGAGTCTCGACGGCAAGACGCCCGCTCCCCTGCTGGTTCGGTGTGCCATCGCGGTGGAGTTCGCGAGGCGGGGCGAGCTTGTCATGGGTGTCGCCGTGATGAACGGAGTCAGCTGCTACCTCAGGCCAGAGCTCCTCAACCTTACCTCGGCCAACCTGGTGGCCCTGGGATCGCTGGTGTCGCAGTACTGGGGCCTCCTTTTGCATCCTTCAGAGAGGGAAAAGAGGAGCCAGGCCGGCGATGCGGACGATTCGCTGATCATCGTCTCGGCCCACATGCTGCCGTGGGGTCACGATTTCCTCCAGGCCTTGAAGGGGAAGGGCGGCCGGCTGTGGTCCTTCGATTGTCT